AACAGCTACGGCGACAACGACACCGCAAACGATCATATCGCTCCCCCCAGAACCTCGTAATAGACGTCGCAGTAATAATAGCAGTGGTAGCAGCCATTCTGTGCGCTATCGTTGTCGGAGGCAACCATTAGTAATCCAAGAAACATCTCTACCATTCCCCGTTTGCTTTTTACTGAAGTGCTTCCGTTCCTGTTGTTATAGTTCGTTTGGTTCGCACCGGCCGATATTTTAATGCGTGCCGTAGCTGTCAACACCAAATCGAAGAGCAATCAGGCCAAGAAATGAACTATTACGGGGTCGCACACTTTCATTGCTACGACTGCACTTAGTGGATTTTTCCGGAAGGTAATGCCTAATAGATATATTTGAAAAAATTCAGGGACAGCCGACCAATAACGTTTCTCTGACGAACTTACCGTTTCGATTGTCATCGCCCACTAAGAAGTCAATCAGTCGGGTGCTGTTCTGGCCGTTACAGCTGTTACCTGATGTAGCTTTTGCTTATTTTCATGTATATGCTCCTATCTCTTTTCGCTTCGCTATGGCCTATTGAGGAAGTCTAGGCCGCGCCACGTAACGGGCAGGACAGCATTCGACAGGCGACGCTTACGATTTAATGCTAGGACAATAGAAATATGCATGCACTTTGACGCGTGAACGAAGATTTGCCAGGGAGGCTCCCTTTTTTTAACGTTGTCTGCTTTCCGCCACAAGAACGCATCGCACAAACTAGGAAGTAGGGCGTCCGCATACCCTGTTAGGCTGTTTACCGAGAGTGGATCCACCACATACCTAATACGTCATCGTGAGAAGCCTACGGGTCAAGAAACTATTGTTATCGGCCATTTTGTCGGTCACGCTGGGCCAGCTAGGGAAGGCGAGGGCTTTCGAACGAAATATACGTACGGTAACAGCTATACACGATGTACTAGGCAGGCAGTGACAACGATGTTGATGATCAGGTTCTGGCCAGACTGGTGACGACTACGTTCTGTCAAACTACTTCAGGCTGTCTAGAACCGCCATTTTTCAACGAAGTCGGATTGTAACATAATATGAATGAGCTTGGATATCAGAAAGCTTTTCAACCGACGAACTATTGACGATGACGATAAACCTTCTACTGCTATCTCTTTCTTATCGTACGGTCGTATGGAACAAGCTGAAACTCTATCTGTGTATCTATCAATGTATCTATGTAGATTTCGTATCTCATTTTGGAACATTTTTGTGTCAGACAGAATAAAATGTCTCTCTCCAAACTATCTTCATATATGACTATTCTGAAAATGACACATTAAATAGACTATCCTAACGGTACGGTAAAAGCTTTAGACTAAATAATTAATACAAAAGGAAAAAATCGGACTTTTTTTAACTTTTAGCATCATTGCCATTCGCTCATATTAGCGATTTGCTCCGTCATTTATTTGCGTTATCGTTTTATTATATTGAAATCGACAGTACAATCATCACCATAGTCAAAATAGAATCGTACTTTATTATTCGTGTTTTTTTTATTTCTCTGTGAGTGGCCCACATGGGCTCTGACTAGCGACATATATTATTCCTTTTCCCTTACTCTAAGCACTCATCATCATCGTTCGTCGTTGTTGTTATCGTCGTGGCGGTTGTTGTTGTTGTTTCGACGTCCCCGCGTTAGCCCGTCGCTACGTCTGCTCGGATCATTGATTGCTTTGCTACTTCTGTTACTTTCTTTTCCTCTGTTTTGTAACGCCATCGATACCCAAAAGATGTTCGTGTCTAGAAATTGTTTGCTCTTTTTTATCGTCCACTGGTCAACGGTTTACCTGTTCAAGCTGATCTGTACTCTTTTCCCTCTCGAATTGGAAAGAGAGAAGACCTTCATTTTGGTTTGACGTTCTCAGAGTCGGCGAAAACGAACTTCCGTCGCCGTCGTCCAGTGACAACTGAAGACCATCCAGCCAGCCAGCCAGTTAAGCCGGGGGCAAGCGGTCGAACGGAACACGGCCAGCGAACCAGTGGTCCAACGGACAGACGACTAATCGTTCCATCATCATCACCACTGTCATCGGCCTCCGCAAGCGGCAGTGACAGGATTGGTGGCGAGCTGCTACTGCTGTCGACGCTGTCTACTGAAGAGGCGATCTGACTTTTGATTTAGCGGGTGAGCTGGTTGAAGAAGGCGAAGAAATCGCCAGTAGGATCTGCTACTAACCAGAGACACGCAGAGAATGAGCTGCGGAGGGATGGGGGAAGGAGAGGTCGACGACTAAGCTGAACAGCTAGACAGAAGCAGAAGAAGAAGAAGAAATGAGTCGAACGAAGGCGCGCGGAACCACCGCTGCGTTTGGAATGCTGCCATCATTGAGGGTCACATCTCGTTGCGTTGCGTTTGCTGCCGCCGCGGCGACCGCTGTTGGTTATTATTCCCCGACCTCTCCAGCCCACCACCACAGCAACCGCTATATCAGTGACAACAGCTAACAACAACAACAACAACAACAAAAAGCTAAGCTGCCACAGTAAACGAAGTGTCGGCAGTGAATGCTATTTCCGTCAGTCGAGTAGTCCAGTATTAGTGGTGCTGACGATTTGGTGATCGGAGTTGATTCGATCGTCGTCATTGCTGGAACAAAGAGGTATAGAGAAAAACTAAGCTCCGGCACTACATCGCTCTACAGAGTAACTTTGGCTTTGGCGAAGGATTACAACGAGCAGGGAAACGACGGCGATGACACTGGTAGCAGCACCACCGATTGAGCGACGGAGCGACACGGAAAAAACGCACGCTGATGATGATAATCATGGCCATCACGGCGCTAGTGGCGCTGGTAGCTTCAGGGCGAAGCAAAAAAACTTGTCGCACGAGGGCGACAAGAGGGAGAAGGACTCCGTTCATCAGTTCTAACCATAAATGACCAACGTGAAGAACGCGAATGGAAAACCAGTGAGCGAACAATCAATCAGTTTGTTGGTCCGTCTATCGGCGCAGAGCTGCCGCGCTCGGCGGCGGAATTAAGAATCATCGTTTTCAAAGCCGAGCAAAGGGCGCGCAACGCGCGTTCAACAGCCAGAGGTGATGCCGGTACTACTTTGGTCATGTGGGATGCACTGCGGCATGAAGTGCCATTACGCTACACGTACACCAGGAGCGGTGAGGTGCGAGATACGCACAACGCGGCAAAACGATCACAGTTGGACAAGGATGAAGTACGCAAACAGGAGCGACATTTTGAAAAGACGAAAAGGCAATACGGCGTCATATTGGCGCTGGTGTTGCTTTGGCTTTTATCGCAGAAATGCAGGGCGCACAGAGATCGACTGGGGTATTGTACGACTTCGTCTAACAGTATCAGCAGCAGCAGCACAAAGATCTTCGCATTCAACTACTTGGGGTTGAGAAGGGCGACCGGGGATTGGAGGGAACGAAACCTAGTGAGTTTCTATACATACAGCAACAGCAGAAAATGGTCAGTAGACACAGCATCTACAACCTAGCTTGTTTGGGCCCGTAGTCGTTAAGACTGGGACATCGTCTGAGAAAGATAGAAAGAGGAAGAAAAACCGATATTGGGGTTTCTGCGATGGACAAACGTGGAGATACCTTTCCTCATGTTAGCCTGTCTAGCTATACGCTAGCAGCTTTAGGCTGGCGCGCATGTCTACTGCGTTGCTCACTGGCTGTTGCTCGTTCGGCTCTTTGCTAGTTCAGCTTAGATGGCTAAGAAGTGCGAAAAAGCCGAAACATGTAGATATGGTGGCAGGCAAAATGAAACAGAGAGAGAGACTAAAATCGTAAGAGCCTATTGGTGAGCCATCCAGCAAGGTCTGCAGCAGACGAATAGACAGTTTCATGTGAAAGTTAGTCAGCCCGTCCGTGAGGGTCGTTTAGGAAAGAATGCACCTGCAGGATCAGCCAGCGAAACTGAAGAGATGCGGGTGGCTGTCCGGGGGTACTTGCGGCGGTACTGCTGCTTCTCCTCGTTGACGATCAGAGTGGGTATCGTGCGAGAAAGCGTGACCCCGTGAAAAGATGCCACCGCCCTTATAAACAGTATCAGTCTAGTTGTATTCGTGGTAGCTAAATTTAATCATTATTGACAAGCGGCATCTCAGCAGAACGTGTCAACGGTGCATGTAGCCATATGTATATCGGGGAATTAAAAGTGAGACGGGACGCAGCAGAAAAACAGGATCAGCAAGTCTAGTAAGTTTAACGATCGAAACACATAAGTCTACTCGCCTATACAAATCGATCGTAGATGTTGTCATGTATTTTTTTCTGTGCTAATATGAATCGTTTCGAGGGACCAACCACCGAAACAACAACAACAAGAAGCCAGCTACAACGATTACGGTCATAACCTCAACGAAAACGTCATAAATATCTTCAGGAGGCAACACATTCGATATATTGGCAGTATGCCTCGTTTTCACTGTCGGGTTTTTCGTTCATCGTCACATTCAACGTCCGCGTATTGTATATACAACGATATCTACAAGGGATTAACATTGCGCAGAACGACGCCCTTATCGGCCGTTCAAAATGGTAAAGTGGTATTGCCCGCCACTCCACCAACGACAGCCTCAGCGAGGAGCAGTTTTAAGGCTTAGCTACAATATCATCTAGTTTCATGCAGTGCAGTTGTGGTTGTCGCCTCTACCTTAACACCTTAGATTCGGAGCTAGCCGAGACCTCTTCCCGCCTTTACAATATCTAGTAGCAACGACTGCAGTTGTCTGCGCTGCCTGTTCACAATAATCGTAGTGCTACCAGCTCATCACAAAAAAAATGCTTCATATAACAGTGAAAAGGATGGGTCAAAGTTAGCGATGTCCTGGCACTGGGCTGTTGGCAGCAGAGATCTCGACAGGCTTGTTCTTCTATATATAATTTACACTTACACAACGCACCTTAATAAATATATAGTACTATATATATATATATATATATATATGTATATATATATATATATATATATACACATATATATATATATATATATAGACAGATATTCTACAGCTGGTTGGCACTGACAGTTTGTACAATCATTGAATTGCCAACACCTAGAGTTTCGTTCGATACTAGCAACTGATCAAAGATAGAGTTATTAAAATATCTAAAGAGGGGTATACTGCGCTTCGCACTTTTCCACCTGTTCGTCGATCTGTTTAAGTCGTTGTCGTAGAATCTCGATGGATTTTGGAGGAAGAAAAGGTAGATGACCTTCGATTCCGGGCGAGTTCGCCTGAAATGCCTTTTGGAGAACCTGGGACAACTCTTCATTTGAGGTGCGCAACAGGTGTCGAACCTGCGCCACAGTGTGTTTACGGAACACGCAGAGTGACTGTAATAGACTTTTGTGATAGCTCTGGTACTTGTCAAGCAGCCGGTAGCCGTGCACGAGACCGGATTCGTTGTCAAGGAAGACCAACAATCCGGTTCGCGGGTCTTTGAGTAGGTTGTGCGCGGGGGCGGCCATCATACCAGAGTTCCACTGCAGGTTATAAAGGTTATTCACGACACGATCGAGGTTGGCAGTTAAATAGTCGAACACGATTAGGTCGCTCCACTGAACCAGTTCCTGAATCTGGCTGCGTGTCATGTTCTTAACGTCGGATGGGTGAAGGTGGCGATTTTTATCGCGTAATAACTCAGGGATATAGGCAGGCTCAAGATCGTCGAGATACCTTGAAAGAATGACAGGCCGTGTTGATTTCCATTGCGCTTGCATCACCTTGGGTGCGACATCGCTCCATTGGGGGCCTGTAGCGACAGTAGCAATGACGGGAACGACGTTTGGTATGCCAAGTTGCTGGGCCAGATAGAATGAAAAAAGTTCACCTTGAATTTGGTCGTTGTTTTGACGGTAACGAGCACAGGCTAGTACCTGATCGGCTAGCTCAACGAGTCGATTCTGCATACGGCCACATCCTTCGCGCACATCGACGAAGCGTGCAGCTTTGACTGTGGCCTTCCAGTGCATCGCCTGACGTTGCTGGAAACCTCCTGGCACCGTCGCCTCGGCAGAGTCACTCCAGAAGATGCCATTGACCGCCGGAAGTTGTGAAACAGGTTCGGCAGTTGTGGGGAGCTCGTGCGATTTTTGCATCTGCGTTGCCACGTTTGACGTAACTCGCAGCTGACGCAAGGCAATCGGCTTCCGGGGTTGAGGTTTGCTAACCAGAACGAAACTGTTTGCGGCCCGGGGAAGTGGGACCGCCGGCGGTCGTTCCGTCGATTCGATCAGCTGTTCGGCATGAGAGTTCCACAAAGGTTCGGGGTTTGCATGATTCAATGCGCCCGACAGAATGACGAGAGTAAGCGCGACCGACACAACGGCGAGGATCATCGCCGCCACTGCAGCAAGAACATAGCGTCTATTGCTCGTCGCCTCTTTCGCCGGAGGCTCAATCACCTCGGCGTAGATCGACTCGATCTTTTGATCAGGGTACACCATAGTGTTCGGCCCGTACAGGTACTGGCCCGACATCATGTTGACGTTCACGTGAGGTACTCCAACACCAAAATCACCAGCACCATGTACACCAATCCGATCGGAATCGTAAGCCATGGGATCGTTGGAAGAGCGTTCAAGGTTCTCTTCCACGATCGTCTTCCCCGTCTTCTCGGGCACTTCTCACTGCATTCGCCCACCACAAGTTATTGTAGACATTTGACGACGCACATCTGTCCGTTGTTATTGTCGTTGTCGTTGTCGTTGTTGTTGTTGTTGTTGTTGTTGTCGAGCGTGTGGTACTTAATAGGAAACGCAGCCGAAAATATAGTGGTAACAACTGAATAAGCGCCAAACTACAAACATCAGAACCCGTTGTATTACAGCAGTCTCCAGAACCGCCTTGCGTCGCTCCTTTGTCGTCTGGCGATTTGCTCTATTTCAAGCGGTTAGTACCGGAAAGAAACCAGTTGAAGCAGCTTCTCCTGGCCAAATCATGCGCACACTACACACACCGTCGTTTGTTGGTGCTGCTAGCTGCTCCACACAGTCCGGTCGTTGTTTTACTGTTTACCTTCGGCGGGTCGCACTGCTTGTCGCTTCTGGTCTTTTTTTCGCTTAATTCGAACTGCGTCGTTCGCCACTTTGTAACGCCGATCGTAATAGCAGCCGTCATGTAATAGCGTAACGTTCGTTGAAGCTTGGCAACAGAGCGTTTCAAGCTGACTCTGCAAAAAAGCTCTCGCTTACTTGTACCGTCTCCGTTCGGTCCGCACCTCTTTCGTTCCGTGTTCTGTCCCCCTGTCTGTATATATGTACACGCTAAGATGGTATCCAAGTATCCTGCATGCGGCCCGCCGTCAGAATGCTGGTGCACAAACCGCTGCATCAGCTTTAAGAGGCGGTGGCGATACACACACAAATGGGGGTGAGCACAAAGAGGAGGAGCAGGAATGCGAATGGTCCGCGCAACGAGCGCCTCCCCTCGGTGATCTACCGAATCATAGAGACAACGGCGGACACAGTCACATATGCGCTCCTCTCACCCGGCCGGCGTTGCGGAGAGCCGAAACAACCGGCCGTACACACACCCAGATGGTCGTCGTAGGCACACTCGCGTCGGAGCTCACAGGACTAACGCATCGAACCAGCAGCAGCAGCAGCACTAGCGGCTCGACGTCATCAAAGGCAGCGTCGCCACCAGCGAGCAGCGAAGATCTTGTGCGTAAGTGAGCGCCACTGCCGTGAGTCGCGCTGCGCGGAACTGGACGAAATGCGTACGCTCATCCTAGCAACAAAAACAGCACCAGCAGTAGCATTAGAATTGAAAGGCTGTTGGTGAATGCGAAGAGCGAAAAAGCGGGGAACCCGCCGTTCAGCAAAACGAAAGCAGACGAGGTGTAGCTAAGGTAGAACTTTTATCGCTCGTGAAGAAGCAATGACGTTGCTTTTGCACAGGTGCAACTTTGGTGGACGCGTGCAGTCAGACCGTTCGAGCAAGCGATCTGGACATCGCTGGAATAGTATCAGTAATATAGAACATACATTTGTAGAGAAACGGAAGAGACAGTTCGAAAGATAATGCTACTAAATAATCAATTTCGCTCTGCTGAATGCGAAGGAGGGAGTAGTACCCTTTCTGTGGCAAAATTCGAAAGCCTTTCGAAACGGTATTAGGGCTGGCATCGGCGGATTCGATATTGAGAAATCGTTCTGTGTATTCGAGAACAGGGGCAAAATAGCTATTATCCGGTGTATATGCATATAAGTTGTTTTCATTTAATGTTAAACGTACATCTGTCCTTGAATAGTCGTGCGAAAAAATTTGTAACTTCCTTCTTATAGGACTTCAGCGGGCTAACTTGAGATTCTATTAAATCTTTTCGATGCTGTACCAATCAACAGCCCGATCGGGCAATCAAGATCAATTAACATGCCGACTGGTAGTAGCAAACGTCGGGCCAATATCGTTCCTGAATGTGACGGCTCGTAGTTAGTGGGCGGCGGTTCTCCGTACCCAGATCAAGTGTGCCTTTTGAGCTTTTGACCAACACGAACTTAAGCCAGCTGAAAACGAAATAGGACTTATTTCAACATCGCCAGTAGCTTCTGCGACTCAGAGTCATGTACAAAGGTGTGCCCGGCCACCATCTCGCTTAGAGTCTGTTCGGTCGGAAAGCAATGAACAAAATGTTGGCTACTGCGCTCGTGTGAATTACGTGAGTAGTACAACATCTGGCGCACATTTCTCAGTCAAATACCAAACAAACCTAGCTACCGTTGAAGCCTATAATTAGGCGACACTGAAGGATGCTAGGATCTATGCTAGGCGCATTGAACAGAATTCGCAGTAATACCGTTACCACCACGCACGGTGATGTTTCGAGAATATTCGAAAGTTATGAACGACTAAATCTAGAGGCTTATTGCAGCTACTCATACGAGGCACGGTCAATCGTGTACCCGGAGAAACTATCTGCGACGCTACGTAACCTTGCATAAGCCTTCTAGTGACTTTATGAACTTTTCGATGCTGTTTAACGCAAACATAACTGTTGGTATCGAGCCAGTTAAAACGAGAAGCTTTCTTTAGGGGCCACCTACAATTATGCGTAAGGATCCCATCATTTCGTTCCTATGTTAGTCTCCTGTTCCCTTTCCGCCCTTCGATCTCATTCCCTAGCGCAGACTCAACGCTGCCCGCACCCCTGTGTGAGATACTCGACGATGAGGCCAAGACATCAGACAAAGCTCGTTATAGACTGCCGCGTCCATAATGCTCTTTGGATTCCTGGAAACCTAACATGACGTCAAAGGCGTTGGCGGCAATAACATTACTCGCTCCGGGCGTGTGTCTAGGTGAATATGGGGCGAAAAATGCTACGTAGCATCAACATTTCTACGCCTTCAATAAAATCCTGTTCAGAGAGCTGAGATGATTAGATGACCGTTTTTTTCTCCTACGTAACTGATACCCATTGGTATCGATTTTGCAGTTAACAGTCTGCCTCAAGCTGTTACTCGCATCCGGACGATGCTAACCCCGAACGGTGGCCATGCTCCAGAGTCTACCCATTTGTTGCTTTGAAAAATTCACGAAAGGAATACTACAGCGACATATGGTATAATGGAAATAAACGTGACTCATGGCCGATCAAATGAATTGAAAGTCGAGCGTAAGCAATATGTATTCAGTGTATGCACATATAATCTATTGGGAGTCTTACTGCAGGCTATAGTGGCAAATGCGACTTGAGTTCCTTCACACATATAGTAGTACAATGTTAACCTCGCCTAGAAGCTACCGAAAAATATTTGCTGGACCACAGCTGACTTCGGATATAGCACAAATAGAACTACAAACATTCAATGTATAATGACCTTAATTATACCAGCGTATCTCGAATTTGATCAGGCTATAGTTAAGAGAGAATTTAACGCGAAGCCTAAATAGACAGGTCGGTTCCTGTTTAAGACAAGTAAGGATATTAGGTTGCGGTAGGTAGGGTAAAGTTTCTCGGATGTTTCTGTCAGAGGCTGCAGAAGTTTAGCCAGAACGTTCTACTCGGTGGGTAAAATTTATGGGTATTTCCAGCGGGATGCAGTCTACGGTGCGATATCGTGGGGATCAACGTATCACAATATTGAAAGACCAGTTGTGACGCGTTAGTTAAGGCAAAGTGGTCTTAGCGGTCGCGTGGAGTTTATGTGGAGACCTTTTACCGGTCTATATCACTGGCAGACTACGCACATATCTCCTAGCCCATGTGTCACACGTTAACTGCTTCTACAAAGTGTTACCGATTTAAACAACAGTGGAGTAACTTAGAATTTTAGCTAGCTTCTGATGTCTCCATAAGCTGACTACTTGATACTTCGAAACTTATGTTTAGTGCTAGGCAAGACGGTAGGCTTCGTCCGATCTTTTAAATCTTACAGACTGTCTTTTGCTTGAATTGGTTCTATCTAAGAGTAACCAATGTCCATTTCCTAGCAGTTTCCTCTTTGGTTTTTTTGTAGAAAGAGTAAAATATTTTTCTACAAAGTATTAGCGACGTTCCCATCACATGGCCCAGCCAGCTAGGTATCGTAATCAGGACTCAATCAGCCATTCATTGGGCTCAAATGATTCATGCGGTTTAAAAATAGGCTTTGTCTCGTTATTACTTTTCCAGTTCGTGTGGTGCTGCGTTTCCTCGGAAAACGAGTTCTCTTACCACATCCACGTAGATATACGTAATCAGCCTCATCTAGCGCCGACATCGTCGGAATCATGAGCAATCACAGACTTATAAGCAGCTCAACCTTTCCATCATCATCCAGATACCGCTAACTTGATGCGATGAGTATCGGCATCGTGTTGTGCGTTTGATAGCTGTCGCTTCGATGTTTCGTACTCTCCTCTTCTCGAGAGAAGTTCTCACGGCTTGCTTGGTCTGGATAGACGAGCCGTATTGGTAGCTCGCTCGTTATTAGCGTTGGTGTCATATTCCTATTTGTGCTACCTACATCGGCCTTCCTCTACTCCGCGTATGGTACGTACCTAGGCGTCGTCATTCTGACCTGAAGGGGCGTCGGTCGAGTTAGTCTGTGACAGCGGTTAGTTCAAGCGAGCGGCCGTGCAGACCGTGCGGAGCGCATCGCCCTCGAGGAGGAATGTCTTTGAGTGTGACCGGCGTTGGCGACGACCGGTTTAACGGATGAGATGGGTCGCCACCTACAACAAACGGCTACTATGAGTGATACTCCGTGTCTTTTGCTACAGAGTATTCTACTAGAAAGCGAGTGGGGACGGAGAGGCGGGCAGAATCTGATTGGGTCCGTCACGCAAGCAGCTTATAGCGGACCTTGTGGATCATGTTCAACCGATCGTGCCACCATACAAGTGGATCTGCTCTCCAAACGGACGAGACGCTCTAAATACGTGCGGGGGCGACCCCAAACGCGACATTGTTAGGTGCTGCCCTCGCGGATGACTAACCCATATGGCTGCTGTTTGTGTCTCACTGCCCTTTTATTGGAGCTTAGACATTTCGAATCAGCAGATTTCTCTGTCAGACGGGCCTTCTTTGTGTTCAGGCACATCGGATGCCTGATCAGCGTTTGGACCACTAATTCGCCGTACTGGAAGAGATCTCTAAGAGATTTCTCTCCCTTTACACAGGTGCTGGTGCAGCACATTCTAAATGCGCCTGTAGCAAACCGGTTACTTAGTACAGAAGACTAGCTCTTAGAGGGCTTCCAAACAATCCTAGAGCGAACGCAGTCCTTAGAAGGCCTAAAGGAATGCATAGACTCAAACTAAGCCTTAAAAGGCCGTGCCTGTAAATACCCAGCTTAATAGAATGAGTGCAATTTTGCTATATAAGGAATGACGCTCTTATCTAATTACTTCTCATGCAAGTTGAAACGAAAGAACGGATATCCTCAGGATCAAACTTCACCTACTGAGCAGGATAATCTAGTGAATCCTTTTAGATTATCATATCGAATAGGCAAAAAACTGCCAAATGCTACAAGTGGTCACCTCGAGCCCATTACTCTGTACTACCTAACCAGGTCTCACCATTTACTGAGTTCCGGTACGGCGTACAAGCTATAATCCGCATGGGATTTTGACATAATTAGCTTAATAGCAGCTTGTGTTACGGGGTATTGCAGAAAATTCGGTGCGAATTATTTTTGCTAGACGTTTACATCAATAATAGTGTAGTTCTGTTCCCTGTTATACTTTTAAAATCCAGTGTCCATGTTATGAATTAGCTATTGACGACGCTATCCTTGGCCATTTAGGCTCACGTTCTAGGTCACACTTAAAAATGGCGTTGATATTTAAACGCTAAAGGCGACGAGCATCACCGTACGCGAACGAGATCCGT